GATTCAGCATCAGAGCCAAACTAGAATCTGGCATCCCTCTGCTCATTGGTGGTTTAGCTTTCATTCTGCTGCCTTTTTCATACAGCACATAATCTGAGTGAAAATAACACAAAAGCTGCTAAGGAAAGCACTTAAAATCGATAAGGAAAGAAAAACTAAAGTTCGTACCAGCTGAAAATGAAAGGTGAAAAAAAGAGAGAGAAAACTGCAAGAGGACAGAGGCAGAAAGCAGCCTGACATGAGAAAGAGTAAGAAAATGCAAAGAGGCAGTATTGAAGCAAATTAAAAAATAACATAGAAGATGTGAAAGTGTTTTGCTCTGTTTGACAAAGTGAAATGGATTGTTATAAATTGCAGAAAGCATCCCTGCCTTTGAAGTATCTTTGTGCTTTGAAGTTTTTAACCTTGGGTCATCCCTGCTCTCACTGATTTGCCTTTTTGGTCTTGAACTTTATTGAGTGACCTTTGTGCATGATGGTCATAGTTCTTGGTGTTGGCTTGTTGCAGGTACAGTGTTCTAGATTGCTTTAGATTTATTTTTATCAAAGCAAATGCTCTATATACCTTTGTCATTGATGACTTTACCAGATGTTAAAATGATGACAACAACAGGAATTTTCTAGGTTCTGGGTATAGTCAGGGCATTCTGAGGAAAGATAAATTAAAATACTCTTACTTCATAATGAAAAATCAAGAGCTTAAGGTTAATACTCGAGGTGTCCATGAATGGTACCTGATGACCATTCCTTCCAGCCCATGTCCCTGTCTCCTCCTTTACAGACCCCTGTCTGGAGAGGACTAGCGCCACGGGCTACCAGGGCCCTTGAGGGGTCAGTGTAGCGGAAGCCACAGCTCTCTTGAGACCGGCTTCCCCACCCCAACACTGGCAGAGGACCTCAGGGAGGGTTGGCAGAGCCTGCTACAACTTGTATTTCCTTGGGAATTCAGAGGACTCTGGTGTGGTATTTCTTAATTTTCTTGCTCTAAAATGTTTCTTTTCTCATATTCAGAAGTAAGCACTTTAAAGGATCGCTTTGGACTCGCCAGCAATGGTAGGCATCTCCTCTTTCTTGGTATGTGGGCTTAGTCTGAATAAATGTTTTTGCCTTTCAGCCCATCAGGGGGCTAATATGTCTATTTTATTTTTAGAGCATGACATTGCAATGGCAAAATACAGCAGGCTTCCTAAGAAAAAGGAGAATGAAAAGGTAAGAATGTCTACTGTAGGTGTTTGCCAGTTAAGCTCCTTTTGCTTCCTCTTGTCATTCATAGTGTTAAAGGTGTGTTTGTGATGTTTTTTCCTGATTTCAGTTTTTATTAATGGTTTCTATAGATTCTGAGCCTCATTAATAGCCTTCCCTTTGTATTGTAGCTTTCACACGGATTAATGAACACCACGTTGGAACTGTTGTAAAACTCTCAAGCCCGACTTTAGCTCATACTTTGCACCTCATATAGTACTCAGGCTCACATCCTCAGCTTGCTTCAGGTCCTTTTCCTTGACTCTGACTTCTAGCTCACTTTATTACAGATAATATTGAAGATTTTTATAAACATAGTACTTCTACTGCATGATTTCCTTGGGATGCAGCCTTCTGAGTGAACCAGAGCATGCAGCTGACGGCCATGCTGCCGCGCCGCTTTCCGGGGGCGGGCGCAGCGCAGTGCTGCCTGCAGCAGTGTCGGCTTCGCCTCAGTGCTGCTTCACACACTGAAATGCTGTTTGTTACTTTGGTTTTTTTAACTTGGGTTTTTAAAAACTTTGAGGTGAAACCTTACCTAGTTTTATTACATTCGCACAAAAATAGTTCTTGTGAATAAACAAATGTTTTGAAGTTGCATGCGCTCACAGAATTACCATGGCTACTAGACAACCTGAAGTTTTCCTTTCACGTCTTGCTCAGGTGAAAAGTGAAGTCGTTAAAGAGGTGGCAGCTGCACGGCAGAAGCAGCACTCTTCGGCCCTTCATTATTACCGGGCGCTCAACATTCTGCAGTACTCAAAGCGTATTGCCGTGATGGAGCCCATGATAGGCTTTACCCAGGGGCAGGTAAGGCGGACCCTTCGGGAGGGTGAGACCGGCCACCTGTGTAGGCAGGCAGGAGAGGCCTCTGGGAGGTAACCTTTAGGAGAAACGGAAGCAGCATCAGAGAAAGAAACAATGGACAACTCCCTGGAAACTCTCTAGACGCCACCCTGGGGAGCTTCACCCTGAGTTGCACTTGTCAGGCCACATGTGCAGAAAATAAGGCCCTGATCCCAGGCCTCCTGTGGAGAGGAATGGGCCTGGCCTGCCCCTCTGTCTCAGGTGCAAGTGAATACCTGGCCTGGTCAGATTTTCTGAAGGAACAGCTGACTGTGGGTTAGTAGAGCAAGGCTCGCCTCCCAAGACTCAGCGCATTCCTCTGCGGCTGTGTGGGACACTCACACTGGGCTGGGGAGTCTCAGAGGGCACATTGCCGCACCTTGACATCTGGGCTGTGGAGATATGTTTTGTGGAACCTCCGTGTTTATTTTGCTTCTCCACCCCGTTAGTGGTTTGCAGAACATTTGACATTAGGACAGCACCTTCCAAGATGGGGCTGTGATTGGGGCTCATCTGAGAAATGCACCTGGGAATCTTCTTGCAGCCCATGATATAGGGACACAAAGGAATGTAAGGAAGCAAAATTGGACAAGAAGAAAAGTCAGAAATTTTTAAAGCCCCTCTACATGAGCATCTGTTACTTTCAGAATACATCTAAAATATATTTTTAAAAAACAGCATCGATCTCCTTTAGGGAAAAGGGGAACAAAAGAGGATCTTTAAACACCCAAGCTCAGTAGTCTGTCATCTTCCGAAGGCTGTTGCTCATTGTTGAGTGGTGAGTACACTGGAATCAGCTTATGCTTTCAGAGGTATTACTTGAAAAGGGCAGTCTACCTTCTCTGTGCCGTCTGAGTGAAACTGGGCTAAGCCAGAAAGTGCACTATCCAGCTGTGGGCGCTGGTCCTCTGCAAACCCCGGGTGCTTCTTCAGATTAGCCTGCGCCCCTGTGTGTACTTGCTCACCTTACGCTGCCTCCTCTCTTCCGAAGAAGCAGTGCACCTCTGCCCTGGCACTGTCCTGGCTTTGCTAGCGAACGCCAGTGTGCCCTGTGCTCTCGTGAATGCCTGGGTCGTGTTGGTCCTCCCTGGTGTGACAGCCCTGGCCTTGGAGCGCAGTCCTTGCTTGGCAGAGGCCAGCCCCGGGAGGGTCCAGCACCAGAGTCTCAGGAGGAGGAGCCACTCAGGCCTGTTTGGTCAGAGCCTGGAGAGCCTGGTTGGTTCAAGGAAGGAGCGTTCCAGGGCCTGGAGGCCAGCTTTGATCCGCGCTGCTGTCATGCTTCCTCATGGCCACAGGCTCTGCCTCCCCTCCCAGCCGGCACTTGTGGGTGAACGGCAGTCACTGGGGAGAAAAGAGCCTGAGCACAGATGCTAGGGAGACAAACAACACTGATAGGGCTGTGTGGTGGCAGCAGCGTTTTGAGGGCTAAGGATGGTCGTTCCGTTTTTCATGTGGAAAATTTAAATACTCAAGACCAGATAGTCCATCACCATCGGACTTTTACAATCCTGATGGAAACACTCCTTTTCTTAGACAAGGTTGTTGTCTAACCCCGAGTCATTTTGAATGACGACAGCATCCGTTCCCCTTCTGCCTGTCAGCCCTTTTAAATCAGTGTTGATTAAGCATCCACCTTTGTGAGCCTATGGTCAGATGACCATTGAACTTCCTGTTGTTCTCAAAAGCTCAGAAACTCCTATGCATAATCCATTGAATCAGGCTTCTCAGAACCACCCATCTTAATGGAGGTTGTTTGACTCCATCTCTGCCTTTCCAGGCCCTTGACAAACAGGTTTCTAATTATATCATGAATCAGCTCTCATGCCTGCAAACAGACTGAGGTTTTGTCTTCTGTCTGTAGGTGTATGGGTACAAAATGAGCCCTAGTATAGTATTCACAGAGTAAGTCCTCTGTAATGTGGCTGTAAAGTCCAGTATCTGAGCCTTCTGTTTGCCATCAGCTTTCCTTAGGGGTTACATGAACCCCCATCGTAGGAGTTCTTAGAAGAGGAACTAAGACATGAACTTAGAGTAGACAATCTAAGGAGTTGGGTTGGGGAAGAAAAGGAAAAGCTTTCCTGATGTTTGTTTCCCTAGACATGCAGAATGCGCTCTTAACAGACGACAATGTTTCACAGTCAGGGGTTCGGAGTGGCATTTCAGTGTTGATCTCTGTGTGATTCAAAGATCACGAGGCAGAGTACCTCCCTACACGCGTCGTACCTCCCTACACGCATCGTACCTTGCATTAGGATAATTGCCATCACCTGCTTTTGTGTTGTGACAACTAAGGACGCTGGTATCCACCCTCCCTGGGTGTCTGGGAACAGATGTAAAGATGTCAGAACTGTGCTGATAGCACCAGCTGCCTTCCGGGGAGAGGTAGATTTCTGTGCCAGCGCCCAGGTCAGGGGTGAGCTGAGCTCACATGCGAAGTAGCGACGACGTCCAAATTCAAGACTCTCTCGTTCTTCCTGACTTAGGCTGTGCCTGGTAGCTCTCTGCAGACAGGCATGTGAAATGGAGCAGCTCACATTCTGCATTCAGATTTCTTAAAGCCTTGGCTATAGCAAAAATGGAAACTTGAATTTGAAACTGGAGTTCTTCAGGGCAGGATGTTTGCACATATTGGTCATGTACAAAAATGCTCTTTCTCTTTCCTGTACCTCTGCCTGTCAAGGCCTGCCAAGGAGTTCCTGCTCTTCACTGCCCAAAGCTAGCGAGTAGTTCCACATGCAGACTGCAGCCCTCAGAGCTGCCGGGGCCACTGCCCAGGGCAGAGCGCCTGCCTGCCACCAGATGTTGGCAGCAGGACGTCCTCCTCGCCTGCGTGAGCACTGCAGGTGCCTGCTGTGTCCTTTGCACGCTCTGTCCCCTGTAAGTTGATGTCAGGTTGGAAGAACGTAGATTTTTCCTCTGCAAAGTGTCCTGTGAAGTGCCTCAGCCATGCCATCGTCCATCCAGCTATGTTCAGAGTCACTGCAAGTGGCTGTCCATGTCTTCCGGGGCCAGGCCAGTCACGTGCGACACACCAGTTTAGCCCCTGGACATGCAAAGGCAAGTAAGACATACCTCTTGCCCTCAAGGAACTTTCTGTCACACAGCAAAGGACTGATGACAATAGTATCAAAAATTGCCATCAGCGGAATTAATGATGCGCCCGCTGTGCTCCAGAGCACTTAACCTGCTTCACTCCCCACCACTGCTGCTTCAGCCAGGTCCTGGGTTTCATCATCTCCGAGGTACAGGAGCCCTTGGGGCTTTGGAGTGGTGAGGCTCTGGTGAGGGCTCCGAGGTGCTGCCCGCGCGGTGGCCAGCAGGGTGGGCCACGCCCGACTGTTGCTCTCACTGCATAGTGAATTCTTCGATCACTCTTTCTAGAAGATTTTCAAAATGTCATAATTATATCTTTCAGATTAACTTTTTTAAGAAGGGAGCAGAGATGTTTTCCCAAAGCATGGACAGCTTTGTATCCTCCGTTACAGACATGGTTCGCAGGTAATACCGCACTCCAGTTTGGGTCTTGTGTGCCTTTGCCATTCCTGCGAGTTGCCTGTGGGAGGTGGAGGAGGGTGCTGGCTGTCGCGGGTCCCATAGAGTCCCTGTCCAGTCCCAGCCCTTCTGAGCTGCCATACTGGCGTCTGTTGTGCTTGCAAAGTAGTGAAACCCACACCCGACCTGGTGCAGCTCGGAGGCCATCCATTGTATGGCGAGACTTACAGAAGGTTAGAACAAGCACAGGGACACTTCCTCGTGAAATCCAAGTTCTGGTTCTCCTTTTGTTAATGTTCTAGTTCCATGTTACGAGCCCACAAGTCCAATTTAGATTTACAGTGAGTTTACTAGATCTCTGCTTTTCTTTGAAAGCTCATTGGGTTCCTAGCAGAAATGCTGCAACTTTTCAGGAAACTAATCATCACATTAGCTTATAATAGGCGATGAGTCATTTGGCCTTTATTGAATTAATTTATCAACAAACTACAGTTTAACCTTGAAAATGCTAGTCTTTAAAAGCGACAGACTGTCCTGACCACAGGACAGTCACCGGCTTCTTGACCTCTCTTGTCCACACCCACCCTGGCGAGGCCAGAGCAGGTGCCCAGTCCCTTCTGGCCACAAGCCTCTTGTAAAGACCAAGAGTACTTGCTGTCTTGAATACTCGTGCTTTCTGGGGCATGCAAATGTCTCTGTACATAGAGAGTCGGTAAGAAAATGCACGAAATGGAGAAGAGAAGCCACTCATCTTCCCGAGGATACTGCATTTCCACATGGCTTCTACAGGTCAGGCAAGGGATGTACAGAGGCTGAAACCCATCCAAAAGCTGATCTGAAAGTAAAGCGTGAATCCCACAAAAAAAAAAAAGCAGAGCTAAGGATTCATACAAATCTAGGCGGGTTGTAGTTGATGAGGGCAGAGACTCCTTTCTGAAAGTCACTGAGCACGTTTTTTCCCTGATGGCTGCTATCCGTGCTGAAGCAGGTTGGATTTAGAATTATGCTAGAAGGCGATTTATGAAATCTGGTCCTAGTTTCTTACCTTTTCATTTGATTGTTAGCCCCCAGGGCGGGGGGAGACAGCGAAACAAGGGGGCCTATTACGCTGTCAGCTTAGAGCATTCTCTCTCCTCTTTTGCTGTTTCTTTTTCATCCTTTTTTAACTCTCAAAGTTCTGAGACTGTTTCTAGAAGAACTTCTCTGTGCTTCACACCTTCTCCATGTGCTAGATGTTTATCAGCTGGCTGGACACTTGTGCGAATTAAAAAAAAAATTTATTTATGCATATAGAACTGGGGTACAGGCCAGAGGTGCAGGGACGGTGAGAGGACTCACCACACACAGAGTGGGGAGCAGAACAGGCCGACTGATGAAGTGCACTGCTGAGGGGAGCAGCGGGAGGGTCAGGAGAGGTCTCCTGCGCCCTGTGGGTCACCTCCGGGGCCGGCGGGGATCGAAATCATGCTGAAGTGGCTTTAGCTTCTCACTGCTGTGCTTTAACCCGCTGCGCCACCAGGGAGGGCCCCTTGTGTGCATTTTTGATAGGCTTTGGTGTACTCTCTGCACTTGGAGAGCATGTGGCCTCCCTCCTCGTCAGCACTTCCGGGAGCTGTCACTAAGCCGTCCAGAGCGTGCAGCAGCCCTCAGCAGAACCTCGTGCCCACCTGAGGCATAGCCTGCTCTCGAGGGGCCCGGGTCTGTGATTGGAACCTCAGGTGCAAGTAGCTAAAGCATTCAGTTTAAGAATTCTGTGGGCACCCGCGGCCAGTGTCCCCCAGAGGACAGAGGAGGGCAGTGGTGGCTCCTGAGCTCTGCCACCAGATGTCTGGTGCTCAACCATGTCACAGGCCAGAACCCAGCTTCAACCCAGAGAGGACAGCTTTCCCAGGCAGCCCACAGCAACACTCTTGTATCTTTTTTCTTGACTTCTCTCTTTTCCTTTAATGAAGTGCAACATGGTTTTAAAAAATCTGTGGAAAGAATGCCCGTTGAAAGCAGTGACTTACCATCCTGTTCCTTGAGTCCTGGGAGTCTTGTACTGAGTTTTTGAGCCTGCTTCTGTGGGTGGGAGGAGGGAAAGTAGGGCAGTCACCAAAACCTCCCAGAAGCTGTGCAAGATACCACGTTGGTGCACACGAGTGTTTTTCTGGGAAACCATCCCCACCTCTCATGGGGTCCTTAGAGAGGGTTCTCTCCTGCAGAAGCAGCTTTGTCCTCCTGCTTAGTTTTGCCCTCTCATTCCATTTTCTTAGCCTTGGAAATGACAAGCTGATTCAGTCAATGAGGCTTATTCTCCACCTTTCCTAGCCGAGGCCACCAGTCATTCCCATTCAGATGTCGGAAAAGATAGGTTTAACTAGATTGGTGGCTTGCACTGAGCTACACTAAAATCCTGGCAAGTGTGTACTGGGGATCTCTAAGCAAATGAGGAGAGGTGTAAACCCACATTTACTTAACTGCAGAACCCCTTTTGAGAGAAAATCCCAGGGTGCTGAAAGGCTGGACTCGCCAGCGCGAGCTCTCTCTGACTGACTTGACGCAGTCTGCTCTCTACACTGGAGACGTGGAGCCACTTCCATGCAGTTGCTTTCTTGAGTGGATGGGCCACAGTGGGCTGACAGTCCAGGACACTGTCACCAAGACCATCACCACTAAGGGGGCGAGGCGGGAGGGGCTGTGGAGGCCTCAGCTTGTGGGGACAATGGACGTTGCTTATTTTAAAACTAAAGCGCCCTGTTTTCCACACCTCAGCGCACAGACACACAGCAGCCAGTGCCCATTTACTTCGTCCTCGTGTGACCAGGGCAGCCCTGTCTGTCTCGCACAGCTGTGTGGCCTTCACACGAGGAGCAGCGTTGCCTTTGACTTTGTTGATGTGCAGTGTGCTTTGGCACCACTTCGGGTCACTTTCCCAGCTCCAGTGGTGTCTCCGCCACTGCCAAAACCAAGGTGGAAAAGCCAGGCAGCGGTGGGGAAGGGTGTGCCCGTGCGTTGGGAAGGGGAGGCCACCGACGACTGACAGCTGTGTCCACCTTTCCAGCACTTTCTCAGGCTGCCTGCACGTGACACCCTTGAGGATAGACTCATCAAAGCTTTTCTCCTAAAATTTGCATCCACAATTCTGAGCATGCTGACGATGTAGCTGGGTTCAGGCCTGCCCCGGAGGCCTTCCTTACGACCTACCTGTAACAGCAGGCTCACGAACACTTCAGTCCCGCAGACTGGAGTCCCTAGGACCTCCAGCGTTCAGAGCCTGAGTTAGAGGCGGAGTGGCCCTGGGGGAGCTGCAGCCCTCTGTGTGGCCCTCAAAGGGTAGTGCTGCCACCTGCTGCCCCGCTGTGCTGCACTGGCCCGTGAGGGGTGACTGACCTGTGACTTTCTGTCTCAAGCATCCAGGTAAACCTGGAAGGCGAAGCTGAGAAGACGCACGCGTTTCTGCAAGAATTACTTATAGTTGACAAATCTGTTTACACTCCAGACTCTGACGTGTCTGCACCACAGATCAACAGGAACCTCATCCAGAAAGCTGGATACCTGAACCTTAGAACGTGAGAATGCGACGCCTGCCTCTTTCTCTAAAACGTGTCTCCCCGAGGTGTGACTGCAAGCACCTGTTAGGTGCCTCTCCAAGGGAGAGCTCCCACGCTGTGTTCATGCTGGGACACAGAAAGCCTCTGGGTTCAGATCCCAAACTGCACTGAGAGATGGGGCTTGAAACAGATTGGTGTGAGGAGCCAGTATGTGGACTGCAAGGTTCGGCAGGTCGCCCAACCCCTGTTCACCAGGCCGCTGGTATGGTACAGAGACTGCTTCCAGCGTCCTCATCCACCATCGAGGCGAGAGTGAGGGCCAACAGGCTTTCAGAGTCATCTAGATGTTTACTGACCAAACCCCATATTTAAAACTCAGGTGTATAAATGTCCATTTTGAATTAAATGGGTGATGGGGCTTAATTGTATCTGAATGTGAGGGAGGTCGTCGTCGGGTGTGAGACAGGCTCCATCCATAAAACAGAGCTGGTAGTTCACATATGTCATGAAGTCTCTACACGGGCTGGACAAGGCCATTCTTAGCAGATGTTAGCTATTACAGTTTTGCAGAAAGAATACAATTGTTGAGGCGGAAAACCTAGCACCTTGTTCATAGTCACTATGCAAGGAATATCGCACCGAGTATTTGACAGTCCCAGGGAGAGGCTCTATGTGGACGGATTGCCGGCTGTGTTCCTACCAGGGTCGGATTCTTTGAAGGAGTTGAGATCACAGGCAAATATCCCCTCAAATCCATGTGGATTGAAAACCCCACAAAGTTTTGGGGTTATTTGCCAGAAATTGAATTGTCCTCTTACAGTTAACCCCACTAACGAGTAACATGGAGTTGTGGCAAAATCTGATCGATTCTGTGTGCAGAGCAGATCTCGAAGTTGGCAGTTGCTCGTGGTGATGGGCAGAGTCTCAGGCCAGATACAGGGCTTTGAAGCCAGAGTCTGGCTGCAGCGGGGCTGGGCACAGGCTGCCCACCGCTGGAGCTCCAGTGCCTGAGGACAGCATCTCCCTTTGAGCAGAGGCTGTTCTCTCCCAGGCCACCCAGCGGAATCGCATCTGTGGGCAATTCTTCGTGTGTGGGTTATTGCAGAGCAGCTTTGTTTTACTATAGAGACACATTTCTAATATGCCCCCGGTATCTATAAAAAGACAGTAAGACTTTGTGCCACTCACGCTTCCTCGTACTAATGGGCTCTTTAAAAATGATTCTTACAGTAAAACAGGGCTGGTCACCACTACCTGGGAGAGACTTTACTTCTTCACCCAAGGAGGGAATCTCATGTGTCAGCCCAGGGGAGCCGTGGCTGGAAGTTTGATCCAGGACCTGGACAACTGCTCGGTGATGGCCGTCGATTGCGAGGACCGGCGATACTGCTTCCAGATCACCACGCCAAGTGGAAAATCGTATGCCCAGCGGTTTTATTTGGGAGGAGGACAAGGGGAGTGTTCCACCCCTGCCAAGGAAGGGCGCCTGTCCCACCCCAGGTGCCTCTCCTTCGCGGAGAAGCAGCCTCCTGAGTAGCGCAGGCCCTGCGGAAGAAGGCTCTGTGTTCTCTGTAAGCAGGGGCACGTGACCCCAGTGGGATCCGGCCTTCCTTATTCAGGGGGTCCCAGAGAGGACATGCCTGTGTGAGTGGCAGTGGAAGTGAGTCTCCGCACAGTCCCAGAGAAGAGGCGCGGCTGCGCCTCAGCTGAGCCGAGACAGGCCTGTGTGTAGTGAGGGGCAGCTCGGGAGAGAAGGCCGGGAGACCTGCCCGAGGAGGCTGTGCTCCCGCTGACCAGGTGTGAGCGCTGCGCTCAGCTGCTGAGTGTCGTTGCTGGGGCACTGCCCCCACACGTGGCCCGTGCGCCCTGGGGCCCCAGAAGAGGCCCTGGTGGAGAACGGGCAGGCTGGTAGTCATCCATGGCAGACCCCATGCCAGCGGGGCTGGCTTGCAGCACATCATCAGGCTGCTCCATGGAGGTCAGCACCCAGCAGCGCTCCAGGGTTCCGCTGGGGGAGCAGAAGAGTGGCCCCCTCCTTCCTCAGAGCTGCTCTGCTGACACCAGGATTCTCATTTGGAGCTGTATTTGAATAAGCACCCCACTCCGCAAGGGTGGGGGTGGTGTTCGTGTCAAGGTATTGGTCATTTCCTCTCCTAGACTGGCAGAGAAGCTTTAGATATCCTTGACCCCGGGTGAGTGGACACGACTGAGGAATGCAGGTGACTGAATTCTAGTCTTGGTCCCAGGCAGTTACTTAGCTCCTCCAGGCTCAATTTTCTCAGATGTAAGATGGGGTGCGCTCCACATCCCTCAGCTTCACGGGTGATGTGATCAAAGGAACACGCGTGCAGGCCCTCTGCGAGTAGGGCACAATAGCTGTGTGGTGTTCCCTGGCCCTCTGTAAAGATTTCTCAGTTCTTAGGGAGGGGCAGACTGGCTGCTGATCCCCTCTCTGAGTGAAGTTGAGAGGCTCGACTGGGTCGGAGTCCTGGTGGCCTTAACCAAGATGTTCCTCATGATGGGAGCATGCAGCTGGCTGGTGTGTCTCATTTTATATAAGTGAGGAGGACACCGCAGGAGGACCCCTGGAGAAAGGAGGTGTTTGTCTGTGAGCACAGAGCGGATGGTGGCAGAGCTACAGCCACAGGCCTGTGCAGTCCTTCCTGTCCTGTGTCCTGCGCCATCCCTTTCAGCCGATTTCAGCTTTCTAAAATAATCCTCAGCACTTGACCTGGAAAGTCCTCACTTACATGCCCTTTTATTTCAGGGGAATAATCCTGCAAGCAGAAAGCAAAAAGGAAAATGAAGAGGTAGAGATTTTGTTCGTTTCACTTCTTTGCTTGTGTGACTTTGGGATTTGGGATTCAGCATTTGTTTTTTTTGCTTGTTTTGTTTTGTTTTTCTACTGTCCTCTACAGTGGATATGTGCAATAAACAACATCTCCAGACAGATCTACCTGACTGACAACCCAGAGGTAATTAATAGGCACCGACTGCCTCACAGCCCTTCTCTCAGTCTGCAAGGTAACCGTCTACTTAGGACTGAGCTTGTCTTCCTGTGGATTTTTAGGCCGTCGCCATCAAACTGAATCAGACAGCTCTTCAAGCAGTGACTCCCATTACGAGTTTTGGAAAAAAACAAGAGAGCTCATGCCCCAGGTAACTAAAAGACAAAGGCAAACAAGCTTTTCAGAAGCAGCCATGTGTTCGAAGTTGACTTGGCCCCTTGGGGGGTGTTCCGTCCTGGCCACAGGAGCAGCACGGCCAGGAGGTAGCTGTGCCCAGTTTACATCACACGGAGAGCAGGGCCAGAGCTCGAGCCTGCGCCTTCGGCTCCACGCCTCTCCAGGCACTGGGCCCCGAGTCCAAGCAGAGAGCACTTGCCTGAAGACCCTGCAGGTCAGGGGCTCTCACTGCATTTGTATCAGCACCAACAAAGTCACGGAACCAAACGCAGTTTTTCATAGAAGTAAACAGTTGCCTGCCCCGTTACTGCCCAGCCCCTTCCTGCATCCTGGTATTCTCATGTGGGCATCGTTTTACATTCCATGTACACACATGCATACATAGATGCACGCATATCCAAACATTTTACATTTCTTATTGGCACCACGCTCTAACCAACTGAGCTAACCGGCCGCATTTTACAGTTTTTGATTGTTTCTTTTCGTGCCACACACTGCTCCAGTGTTTACCACTACTGGCGCCCGCACGGGCTGTCCCCCTTCCTTTGCGTGTTGTCTGTTACCCATTACAGTGTGTGCACTTCCGCGCACATATCTTTCCTCTCGTTTCTGAATACTGCACGTAGGATTTATCCCCGGAACCCCATCTTTTGTCTTAACTGTTGTCCCCATGTGATTAAATAATAACATCTGCCAGGTTAACGAAACATGACATCAGAGGGTAACTTGAAATGACTGTGTTTGGTGCTCATCTTTTGTGGCACAGTAGGATGTTGTACCAGAATCCTCAGTGACCCCAGAGGAAAATCGTCAGAAAGCTCAGAGTGACTTTGCAGGGTATCAGTGCTCCCCGCTGAGAATGATTTGTATGTCCTCTTAGTGTTCACATAGCGACATTGAATACACGGGCTAAAACAATACGGAAGGGGATGATTCCACAAAACAGATTTGGTTTTCAGTTATGAACAGAGTGGGGGCTACAGGCAGTGGGGCGGAACTGAAGACTTAGCGAGAAGGGGAAGCCTCATCAGAACCAGTGCAAAAAGGATTTTTGCTGCACCCTGTAGGTCAGGGTGAATGCGGCGTGGTGGGGAGAAGGCTGGGGCAGAAGGACCCTGGGGCGGCCGTAGTGAAGCAGACTGGGAGAACTGAGCAGAGGCCTGGGAAGGGAAAGAGCAACAAGCCAGAAACATGTCACTGCTGTAATTTGAGAGTCTTAACAGTTTGCACAAGTGCCATGCTTAAATTAAGTATGGCTTCAGGGAGAGTTCCTTCAGTGACGTAGGACATGAGGGCCAGCCAGTGGAGTGCATCCATGGGCCTTGCCCAGACGAGTGAATGTATCCTCTCTTCAGGCGACAAGAATATTAGACGGACTCAGTGAAGAAGGCTAGACTCCACGTTGGAGATAATACTGATAAGAGCCTTGAACACAACTAGGTGTTTTTGAGTGAGTCAGTCTACTCTCTGGGCCTCTGTCTCCTCAGCTTTGTGATATAGTAAGATGAGAACCCAAAAGTGCAGAAGAGGTTGGAGCAGGCTGGTGGCAAAGCTTAGTGGATGAGCAGGAGCTTGAGCTGGTGCTTGACGCATGGGAGAGCTGAGTGGAATTGGGATGGTGAAGGCAATGAGGAAAAGCATGTGGTGTGTATTTGGTCTGGCTCCAGCGGAGGGTGCGCTAGGGAATGCAGAGGGGAACCTCCGGAGAAGTCAGAGCCAGGCGGTGACTGAATGCCAGGCCAAGATGCATCACGCATCCAGCCAACCTTTCATACAAAGTAATGGGGCTTAGCTGTAGCCCTTACTGTCAGAAACCTGCCTCAAAAGGAGAAAGACACAAGGAAAAAGTTAGTAGCTAGTGTAATAAGTAGTTTGACACATGCAGAGATGGTGCAGCAGCACTAACTGCAGACAGTGGGGTGCACGGAACGACTTTGACAAGGACATGAGTGTGCGCCACAGTGATTTACTTGTAGAACGAAGGGTTGACTGAAATCTGCCATGCTTTCCTACTTGCAAAAGTCACATCGACATTTAACTAGTATTCGTTTGATTGTAAAGACATAAGGTTAAAGAAATTTGATTTTTTCCTTCCCTTCCTATTTTTGTACTATAGCCAGAACCTGAAAAATTCAGAGACGGAAAATGACAATACTGTTCCCAAAGAAACCATCAGTGTAGCGGAAGCTGAACAACTCATTGCACCTGGAACGCCTATTCAGTTTGATATTGTACTTCCTGCTACAGAATTCCTTGATCAGAACAGAGGGAGCAGGTACAGACTGCGGGAGGTCATCTCTGAGCGATGAAAACAGATTTGACACCTCTTGTGTCCCCACCAGCCTCCAAATCTATATAGCTGCATTCTGACTTGGAGTTAGGTATTAGGTGCCTTTCACCTGAAGCTGTACTGATTGCTTGCTGGCTTTTCCCTTAGGCGTGTCAACCCTTTTGGTGAGACTGAGGATGACACATTTCCAGAAGCAGAAGGTAAGCGGGTCACTTGATGTGCTGATCTTCTTCCTGTACAGAATGTGCGGGCCACTGCCATGAGATGTGAAGTCAGGTTGGAGGCAGCTACGACTCGAAGTGTGTATTAATTGAAATTATGACCCACAGATCTGTTACTCACTTTGAAACTTTATTATGATACATGCAGTTAGGGATGACACGAGGAAATGGACTTTATGTCGTTTAAATTTGGACTTTTTTGTTGGTTGATTTAGTCTCCTAGTGAGAACATCGTGGTGCTGCGCGTCACCTACTGCTCCGTGTTGAGTCTGGGTTCCAGCCAAGGCAATTTGGAAGCTAAAAGTGCTGACAAGACCATGTTTTAACACAGCGTCAAGACTGGAGGCCGAGAACAGCGCTAGAATGAAAAGCCTCTTGTTTAAATTTAAAGTAGGACTCGAGAACTGGCACCCCTCACAGCATCAGGGGAACATAACGTTCATGATCTCCAATCTCAAAGCTGTCTACTCTTAGACTAACTGTCTCCGTACAGTGTGCACTGTAGAAAACCTAGAGGGATTTTCAGACTTACAAAAAACTATCTTTTCATGGGAGGAAACATTGGCAACATTCTATCAATTGATGTTTTCCTAATAATTTTGTAACCCTTATTTTTATACAATAGGGAGGGCAAGTGAGAAGCCAGATTTCTTAAGTTTAAAATGTCAGATAAGTAAATTTTTATAAAAAAGCTCTTTTAAGCTTTGTCATGATCTTTCTGTGGTGGTTGATGTGACTCAGTCCTGCCAGGTATGTGCTTCTATCAGTTCACTTAATTGTGTAGGCTACTTTAGTCTAAGATCGCTGTTTATGAAGTATATCACTGTCCTTCTGTAACATGTGGTATGTATGAACTGAATGAGACCCAACATCAGGTCTTTTTTCTTCGAGTAAATTCTCTTTTGTAAGAGGCCTTCGCAGGGAGCCACGGTGCCTAGGGCAGAGGTGGGCAGCACTGCTGTGCCTGCAGGTCGCACTGGGAGTTTCAGTGCCAGAGGATGTTCGTCTGGTACCACGGTCTCGTGTTATAGATGAAGAAAAAGAGGCACCTTTCTGCCTAATGAGGTAGTTCTAAACGCTAGGAGAGTTAGAGCTTTGCCAATTTTACTTTTATAAATAAAAGCAGAGTATTCCAAATTTTGGCAAAAAGCCTTCCATGGAAAACCAGCCCAACCTGAGATCTTGAGGCTCTTTTCAGGCCCGCACCTCTGCCACTGGCAGGCAGATGAGCGGTGGCACGAGTGAACATGATCCTAAGCAGAAAACACTCTCTTGCAGATTCTCTTTTGCAACAGATGTTTATAGTTCGATTTTTGGGATCGATGGCAGTTAAAACAGACAACACTACTGAAGTAATTTATGAAGCAATGAGACAAGTTTTGGCTGCTCGGGCGATTCATAACATCTTCCGTATGACAGAAACCCATCTGATGGTAACCAGTCAAAACCTGAGGTACATTCGGCTTCGCTTTTCAGACTTTCTTATTGTTTGATCTAGTCCGCTTGTAAGGCACACTTACCCATCTAGAACATTAATGTTAGAATATTTGAGTGGATTGAATGAAGATGCTGCTCTTTCTACTACTCTTTTTACATTTCAATTTAACAAGCTATACTGGCTAGAAGATGCTCCCTTAAAGACAAAAACTACTACTTTTAGAAAAGTAGTGAATGATTACTATTGTTCATGAAGATACCATCATTCTAAAGTGACCCTCTAAACCTCATACCTTGAATGGAAGGACCTTCTTTCTATTTTTCATGTCTGAAAATACTAATTCTAAAAATCAACAGCAGTGAAAACAGCATGAACCAGCCTGAGATAACTAGACCACCACAAGGAAAATCTGATTGATATTTGCCGGAGGGATCTCTTTAAGAAGCCAAGCAGTGTGAACCACATGACAGGTTTCAGGTATGAGATGTCTAGGACCGCTGGCAAATGGCTGAGGCCCAGAGAGCACAGGCATCACTGACAATCACAGTGTCCCGCATTGTAGCCAGGGACAGCACTTGAAATGTAGCAAGTTGAATTCAGGTGTGTTTCAGTATAAAATACCAGATTTCTAAGACTCCATTCCTTCCAAAGGATGCAAAAATATCTCAATTTTTATGTCTAGGTGGTTAGTATTTTAGAGCGGTTTGATTAAGTGTATTAATGTCAACTGTTTCTTTTTACTCTTAATATGTTAGACTGTTAGAAAAATTTATGTATGAAGCTTACATGATATTTTTTGTGGAACAGCAGCACTGTCTTAGTGCCGTATCAAGGCTTATTCCTGGTTTTGCCATTTATTAGTTGTAATACTATGGGCAAGTCACTAAACCTTCTACCTTGGTTTCTTTGGTTATTAGATGAAAATAGCTTTATCCACACCCCAAAAAACTTAACTCGGGCTTTGGCAAATATCACAATGCAGTTCTTTGCTCTTATTAATATAAGGCCTTTTCATTTGGTATAAGTCTTGTATTTAAAGCTTTGCTTCCAGCACATCCCTAGACCTTTTGCAGGTGTGAACTTTGTTCTTATAGTCTTCACTAAAAAAAGATCAGAGTAAGTAATACTTTAAAGCAGTTTGAAAACCTGTAGTAGTCCATCAATGAATACTACTCCAAAGTGTATAGACAGCCAACCCATAAATTGCAAGAAAACATTTGCAAATCATACATCTAATAAAGGTCTCATGGCCAAAATAAATAATCTTACAAATCAAAAAAAGACAAAGAAAAATGCCCAACAAAAAAGTGGATGAAGGAATTGAGTAAGTATTTCCAAGAAAATGTACAAGAGGCCAACAAGCCCATAAACAGATGCTCAGTGGCATTAGTTATGAAAGAATGACAGTCACACGCACAATGAGATACTACTACTTAACCCTGAGGACAGCAACAGTTTGTTTTTTAAAGTCTTAGCAAAGACACAAGGATCTAGAATCCACTGGTGGGAGTGTAAAATGGTTTGTAGGAAAGTGTGGTATTTCATCCATAAGTTAAAGAACTCCACTCCTAAGTAGATACCCACAGGAATCCAAACAAGTGTTCAAACAAAAAACCTGCAAGCAAACATTCATAATGGCACAGTAAGAGATTTAATGTTATTGATAGGTTCCTGGCAACTGCAATTTTAAGCAAAACAGTATATAATGAGACCATAGGCTAAATAAGAGTTAAGTTCACTAGTGCATTGCTAGTCTCAAAACATCATCAAATCTTTAAATACCCAAAATGTATAATAATAAACAGTGATTTGCATTAATTCATTTCACAACTTGTTCATTCTAATTCAGGGTCCCAGTTAGGTAGCTGGAGCTGTTGTATCAGCTTAGGGTACAAGTTAGGAACCAGCCCTGGAAAGGATGCCATTCCATCACAGGGTGTCTCACACACATGCCCACATCCAGACTGGGACAGGCTCTACATGTCCACAGCTAACATTCACATCTTTGGGATGAGGAAGGAAGCCAGAGTTATCCAGGCGTACATGGGAAACATGTGCAACTCTGCCTAGACAGTGGCCCCAGCTAGAAGCTGCTGTTCTGTTTTCTCGTCAACATTATAAAGAAACAATGTTGAACGAAATGACATTATTCAAGGGCCTGCTATATACTCATAAAATAAAATGTGGTACACATACTCATAATACTCAAAATACTCATAAATAAAATGTGGTACACATATGAGTAGAATATTACTTGGCCTTAAAAAGAGATGAAGTGCTGATAAATGTTCCAACATGGATGAATCTTGAAAACACTACACTAAGTGAACACAAACACAAAAAGCTTCTTACTGTATGATCATTCCTATGAAATCTCCTCAGTGGGAAAGTCCATCGAGGTAACAGTGAAGATCAGTTGTTGCCAAAAGCTGAGAGGAGGAGTAATGGGGTGCAAATGCGTAATGGCCATGCAGCTTCCTTTGAGATGCTCACTGGAGCTAGCTATGATACTATAGTGTTGTGAATGTCCTGTCAGTAATGACAATTTTTATGTTAAAAAGTTACAAAAGATAATAGGCAAGTGTTAAGTTTTTATTAATAGAAAAACTTTACAAGATACCTCAAGAAAGTTCTCTCAACTGAGGGAAATTGTTTTTGACGTTTATTTTAAAAATTATTAAATTTTTAACCATTGATTGGGATGTAAATAAATATAACACTTATTTAGTTTTGTGGTTTACCTGAAATTCTATATAAAGTTTTTCATTTTAGCTACCTTTTTGAGGTTGGAGCTCTTATTCCAATTTTACAGGTGAAGCTGTTGAGAGAAATAAAGGTGATCAGTATCATAAAGGTTACAGTAGCTAGAGAAACCAGTTTAGAATTGAATTTTGACCTCTCATTATAAATCTTTTTTTTTTTCTTGGTATAACATTTTTTGGTAACAGATTTAATGAGATATCATTCACATGCCATATAATTCACACCCTTAACGTGTACAATTCAGTATTTTCAGTATATTCAGTTTTGAAACCAAACTAGATCCTCTTCACTTTTTTTTTTTTTTAAGATTGATTTATTTGTGCATACAGAACTGGAGTACAGGCAGAGGCTGTTTTTATTAAACAGCGGTGAGAGGCTTCACCAGAGACAGAGTGGGGAGCAGAACAGGCAGATCGACGAAGTACACTGCTGAGGGGAGCCGCGGGTGGGTCAGGAGAGGTCTGCTGCGCCCTGTGGTCACCTCCAGGGCAGGTGGGGATCGAACTCATGCGGAAGCAGCTTTAGATTCTCAGTGCAGTGCTTTAACCCACTGCGCCACCAGGGAGGGCCAACCTCTTCACTTTTTTTAAAAAAAACTAATATAATAGTTTATTTTTATATCATTTTGTGCATTCTTTCATCTCGGTTGTAATCCCTGTGGGTTTCCCATCACCAAATCACCCATGTGCCATCACCATATGATTATAAGCCTTATGCTTTGTAACAGTTCATATTTAAAATTGTGCCTGTGGTAGCAGAGAGGGATATCTTTGTTTAGATACAGTTTACATACCCTACAAGTTATCAACTTAAACTATTTTTACCATATTCAGAATTGCACAGCCACCACCACAGTTTCTGAATGTTTTCATCAGCCCTTCAAGAATAAACATACCTACCAGTAATGATTCCTCCCTCTGCCCCCCCAAGTCACGTAACTCTAGATAGCCAGTAACCACTCTAGATTTGCCCATTCTGGACATTTCCTATACATGGAATTAAAACATTTATTTTCTTTAACAAAGAATAATTATTTTTGCTTTCAGTTATAAAACAGTGAATTAATAATAATTGAAATATACACTGTGTTAGAATAAAATTTTAAAGATAGCAATAAATTCTGTTTTCTCACATACATCAACCTGATCTTTAGCTGATGCTTAAAATGTTAAGAATATTCTAGAATGTCTTCTTAGACATTTCTTATACACCAATGTATACAAGAATAGCTCCAAGGAAAACATCCCTTCACTGTACTACCCTGTACTGTTATTTTAGAAGAACCAGTTGATCCAACACTTCAAAGGAAAGTCATTAAATGTTAAGACTGTTCAGATATGGTCCATTATATACAACTATTAAGAATTATGCTGCCTTTTCTTAGGTGAGTACCAAAATATCGCAAAATTCTGTCTGCTATAACCTCTCACTAAACATCCCCTGAGCTTTATAGTTTCAACAAAGGCAAGGAAACATGGCACAGGCTCCTTTTGGTCACAGCCAGGCCCTATGTTTTCATATTTGGGAGCTTTTTGTGATTTTTATGTAGAATTTCCACAAGTTTATGTGTATCCAGCATCTGTAATATAATGAACCTCTTAAATTTTCAGGTTGATAGATCCTCAGACTCAAGTAACAAGAGCCAATGTAAGTACCTTTGTATGTGCTAATTTGGTGTCTTCCCCAGTCCGCCTTTGGAGCTACTTTATACACAAAGCAGACGCTTTGTAATTTTATTTCCTAAATTAAATGTCACTTTCCCCGTAGAGAATGCCAGTGATTTCAGCTTGTTGTTTGATACTCAGTCTATTCCCATTTCTTTTCCAGTTTGAACTTACTAATATCACCCAATTCGCTGCTCATCAAGAGAACAAGAGACTGGTTGGCTTTGTGGTCCGCATACCTGAGTCCACCGGGGGAGAGTCTCTGAGCACCTACGTTTTTGAAAGCAACTCTGAAGGCGAAAAGGTCGTTTTTCATCTTATGATTTTGTAATAGGAGTCCAAACTTGTCCATTTTAATGTTTTTTTTTTCCCACCCCTGCATATTTAGTTGACTGTCCCGCATGTTCTGAGTTTAGATAATACCTCCTAGAAAACGAGTAAGATTTCCCCATAGAAAATACATATAAGTCAAAATAGTAAATGAAGGTGAAATGTAGATATTTAATAGAGGTATAAGGAAATGTTAAAAAGAGTTCCCTCAGATTTGTTCTTTAAAAATTAAAGCAGTCAACTATATACCAGAGGCATTTTATGGGGGTGGAGTGGGGAATGGGATCAAAAGTGGGGTGGCGGGGGGAGCGGGGAAGTGCACCAGACTATGGTGATTTGGTGAAGGGCAGCCCACGGGGATTACAACTGAGATGGAAAAAGGCACAAAATGATGTAAAAATAAACTATTACATTATTTTTTAAAAATTGTTAAAAAAATTCAAGCAGAAATAACAAAAAGGAGAACATCTAGTCTCAAAGAGCAGCCAAAGGAGCAGCCGACAGGAAAGGAGTATCTGAGCTGTTCTTGTGCGACTGCATTTGCTACTTAGAATTAACCAACACTGCTTTCAGCAAACTATCTTTGCCACTATGCAAAGTGTTGATGTGACCTAACAGTGGCCTCACTTATACGGGTACGTTTTTTCTGGAATTCCTTTTCCTTTGCTACCATCTTTGCCAAATATCACTTTTCTTGTCTTTTGCAGATATGTTATGCCATTAATTTGGGGAAAGAAATTATCGAGGTTCAGAAGGTAAGGTATGCTTCAGTACTGGCTTTAACAACTGCCCAGAAGAGATCTGTACACATGCTAAGATTTCTGTGCAGAGGGAATGCTGCTCCCTGGGCATGTAGCCACACTTGGGCTTCAGCACACTGGCCCCCAGGTCACTGGTAGCACATGTGGAATCTTTTTTTTTTTTTTAAAGGTTTGTTTATTTATGTGTACAGAACTAGGGTACAGGCCAGAGGTGCAGGTGCAGTGAGAGGACTCATTAGAGACAGAGTGGGGAGCAGAACAGGCAGATCGAAGAAGTACACTGCTGAGGGGAGCAGCGGGCGGGCCAGGAGAGATCTGCCGCGCCATGTGGTCACCTCCGGGCAGGCTGGGATTGAACTCATGCGGAAGCGGCTTTAGCTTCTTAGTGCTGTGCTTTAACCTGCTGCGCCACTAAGGAGGGCCACATGTGGAATCTTAATGCTGGTAATTGCTGCAGCTCCTGCTTTATGTTGTCATTTTCTTTGTTTGCTATTGTTGGCTGGGTATCCTTTCTTTCATATGAGATGGAACAGACCCACGTGTCCACCATGTGCTCAAAGGCCATCCTTCTCAGGCTGGTCACAGGTCCATCAACATTAACTCTCACCCCTGTTGTTCGCACCTTGTGTCTTTCATTTACCCAATATGTTTTTGAGAGTCAAGTTTGATTAAGAAAAATCCTGGAAGTGTAGCAGTGAGCAAGACAGGTGCAGTGTCTGTACCAGGGGTTTCTAGATCGCTACTCTCTAGAACTTTCTACAATAATGGAAAAATCTCTACACTATTTAATATACAGACTGAATGTCAGTAGTTTGACTGAGAAGCTGAATTTAAAATTGTATTTAAGTTTAAATAGTAACTTTAGCTAGTGAATACGTATCAGTGCAGGGCTAATGAGTCCATCAAGGAGAGAAAAAGGACCAAGGCCTGGTACCAGCATACCAAAAATAACAACAAGCACTACAGTTAACATTTTTATGGTGTATACCAGGGATTGGCAAACTTTTTTTCTGAACGGCCAGGTAGATAACCTTTTAGGCTTACCATCTCTGTTGCAACATAAAAGCAACCATTGTATATAAGTTAATGGACATGGCTGTGTTCAGTAATCTTTTTAAAAAACAAATGATGAGCCAAATGGCCATAATTTACCAGCTTTTGGGATAGAAGTAAAGAAAGGGGTTTAAAGACCTTAGAGGCATTGTGAAGAAAGTTCTCTGGACTCTTTTCTGGGAAAATGATTATGATGTACCTATGTAAATGATATCTATTAGAGGGAAAAAAACTTTGCCCAGGATTCCTGAGAAGTAATACAGCTGAGTTTTTTCATAGAAGCCAGAAGATACACCTGAAGACAGAGTCAGAAGGAGAGAGGCAAGATTATAGAGCAAAGTGAAAGCCAAGGCAAAGGGGTTTTAAGTACATCTTAAGCTCTTTTTTTTCTTCTTAAACTCTCATAACTTCAGGATCCAGAAGCATTGGCTCAGTTAATGCAGTCCATACCACTAACCAATGATGGAAAATATGTACTATTAAACGATCAACCAGATGGCAATGATGGAAGTCCGAGTGAAAATAGAGGCGCAGAATCTGAAGCATAATTTTCTTGCGCCTTTGGGGGAAGAGCACCCAAGAAGGAGAGCTATCTCAAGGGTTTTCAACTTCTCTGATACACAGGCACACGCCCTGGTTTCAGAATGCTGACAATCGCTTGTGGACTGTACTATCGATGCCTTGATACCGAGAATTGGGAGGGAATCAGTAAGAAATGGTTGACAACATTCCTACCCGTCTACAATGTTATTTTAGGTGCTTTGTGGTAAGTTCTTATCTTAGATTTTATGGTTCAGTGCTCAGATTGAAAGCTAAAAATGCATTGTTCACTTTATTTGAACGTCATCTCTTTTCAATTTCCAGTATCCTTTTTTAAAACGACAGAAACCTAGATTTGATAAACTAAATATTTCCTATTAATATGATCTATTTTTATATTTTACTTAATGAGCTTTAAGTGCCTGTCATTCTAAAAACTATATTTATAGTCAAGCTGCCTCATAATTGGACCTAATAATATTAACTTGTACAGTTAGGTGATGAGCCCTGCGTTGAGGCCCAAACAGTGGCAGGCATGCAGGAGTAGTTTTGATAATTCTTCAGGAAATCATGCAATAAAAAACTAGCACCTAATGTCATTCCAGAGTAGCTGATGAGTACCATGAAGTGTGTTTAACTTTGTATTGGAGACTTAATGAGCCAGCATTCACAAGTTTACAGTTCTCTTAGATATTTCAGGATGGTGTCCAGTTCTGAGTCAGACCCCCTCAAGAAAGGGACCAACTAATCTTAAAAAACACTGTTGAAGCACAACTGGTATGGAGCTTGGCATAAAAGTTCTTATTTTCACCCTGATACACCTGGTTCCTGGCATCTCAGCCCACTCTGTCATCCCTTCTTACCTGTGAAATCAATATAATTAATTTTGAATTGGTATGGTATATTCAGTAATAATCAAGTTCAACAGAATGTCATTGTCTTTGTAATGAATTAACCAAGCAATAAATGCTAGCAAATAAAAAAGTGTAACTCATTACTTTTTTACTTTTGTGGTTATTTTCTAGGATCATTTTCACATTTAGCTCCTCCTCCCCCCCAAAAAACAAAACAAAACAAAACTAGGGCATAATGGAATCACAGCAGAGGATGTACTCTCAAAAAACATTCTATTCAGCTTGAGTAGAACAGTGTGACCCCATTGCAAAGTTTTATAAAGTACTACTTTTTAAACAGTTTATGAATAAAACCACCCCAGATTATTTTATCGAGTTCATCTGAAGAATCCAAATCTACGCTGTGTAGGCATTTATCAGCCATTTAAAAAGGAGTAAGTTCTCACCTTAACATAGTAAAGCATTATGATAAGGCCAGGGCTGATGCATATTCAACAATCAACAGCTGAAAGCTTTTTCTTTAAGCTCAGGAAGAAGATAAGGAAGCCCATTCTTACCACTTACTCCACAGAGTACTGAGAGTCTCAACCACAGCAGTTAGGGAAGAAAAAGAAAAGGCATCTTAAGTCAGAAAAGAAGTAAAACTGTATTTCTAGATGACACATATATAGAAAACCGAAAAGACTGCAGCAAAAAAAAAAAAATCTTGAAACTAATGAATAAGTTCAGTGATGTTGAAGGATGCAAAAATCAATGTAGAAAAATTAGTTCCATCTCTGTATTATAATAAAGAAATTAAAACAGGAGTTCCCAGTGGCACACAGTTAGTATGTGGTACTTGGACAGAAATTATGAAGACAATTCCATTTATGATTGTATCAGTAAGAGTAAAAAGCCTAGTAATAAAGTTAACCAAGTAAGTGAAAGATTCATATAGTAAGAACACAAGACACGGGTAAAAGAGACTGAAGACAGCAAAGGTAGTCCATCGTCATAAACTGGGTGAACGTTGTTAAAATATCCATATTACCCAAAACAATCTATGGATTCAATGCAATCCCTATCAAAATTTCAATGGTACTTTTCACAGGAATAGCACAAATAATTCTAAAATTTGTATAGAACCACAAAAAACTCTGGATAGCCAAAGCAATTGTGAGAAAGAACAACAAACCTGGAGGCATAATGCTACCTGATTTCAAACTACATTACAGCGATATAATAATTAAAACAGTATGGTGTCGGCAAAACCACATACAGATCAGTGGAACAGTAAAGAAAGCCTAGAAAGAAACACCATTACATGTCAATTTACAACAAAGAAGATAAACTACAATGGGGGACGGCCTCTTCAATAAGTGAAAAACTAGACAGCCACATGCAAAAAAAAAAAAAAAATGAACTAGGACCACTATCTTATGCCATCACAAAAACTACCCCATAATGGATTAGAATTCAATATGAAGACCTGAAACCATAAGATTCCTTGAATTAAACACAGGCAAGGTTTACGTGAGCTACTTGGCATAAGTTGTGATTTTTGGATTTGATACTAAAAGGCAACAGGAAAAATGAGTGGGAGTACCAATGAAAAAACCACGCAAAGGAAAACAACAAAGTAAACAGCAATCTACTGAACACCAGAAAATATTTGAAAATTCTATCTGATTGGGGGTTAATATCTAAAATACATGAAGAATAATTTGTCCAGATTGCTACAGGTACATAAAAAGGCAAACATCACAGGGAAATGCTTATCACCTCACTCCTGTTGGTATGGTTATTGACAAAGTCAACAAATGATAAGTTTTGGCAAAGATGTGGAGAAAGGGGATTCCTCATGTACTGTTCATGAGCATGCAAATTGATGTAGCTATTAATGAAGACAGCATGGAGATTCCTCGAAAAATAAATAGAAATAGCATAAAATCTAGTAATTCTACTTCTGGGTGGTATTTTTCAGAACAAAACTCTACCTTGAAAAGATATATACAACCACAAGTATATTGAAGTATTATTTATAAAAGCCAAACTTTGGGAAAAACCTAATGAATGCCCATCAGTGGCTAAATAGAGAAAACATGTATATACACATGACTATTCAACTACAAAAAAGAAATCTTTCCATTTGCAACAAGGGGGCTTTAGGCTAAGTGAAATAAGTGGTGAGACAAAGCAAGACAACACTGTATGACCTTAAAAGTACTGCAGGATACAAGGAGCAGGTTTGTGGTGGTGAAGAGGTGAGGGTTGGGGGGTGAGGAGGATGGAAGAGTGAAGATGGTCAAAAAAACTAAACTTCCAGATAGAGACTAAGTCCTGGGATGGAAGGGATGCAGCCTGGGAACTGAACTACCTTTAAGAATACTTTATCTGAAAGTCTGTAAGAGACTAGACTTTTAAAAGTTCTTACCATTAAGGAAAATTATTACTATGCATGGCAGTACATGTTAACTAAATTTATTCTGCTAATTACTGCGCACTGTATACCTAAATCAGATCATTATGTTATACATCTAAAACTAACACAATGTTACATATGTCAATTACACTGCAATTTAAAAAAACAAAAGATACATCTGACAAAAAATTTTAAAGAAAATCAAGTTGTTCCTGTATACCCATTCATTCAAATACAGACTGCTTATTTTCAGTCTTCTCTATCTCAAAGGGTAATAACAATTACCAAGCAGTTGAGACACATGCCAGGTATATTTCCTCATGAGTAATAACAGGTAATATTTATAGCTGTTTTCTGAAGTGATTTAGTACTTTACTACTAATCTGACATGAAGAAGTGGTTTTGGTGTATAAGTTTTAATTTATAACCTCACCCTAATGACGAGGGCATTATTAATTTAGATCTGACACTATAGAAGGCATAATCCTTGAAGGTTCCCAGACATTAGATCCATACTGACTGGAAGACAAATTTCACCTTTCCTGAGTGTGTTTCCACTAATGGGAAGAGTTGGTGTTATCAGGCAAACTAGGTGAGCCAACAAAGTCCAATTACTGAAATAGAAAATATTACTCATTTACTTAGCTTTTTAACATGTTGTGTATAATGTTCCTATGTAAACTACAACTTGGCCTTTACCATTTCTGAGTTGATTGCTTTCAAATCCTATGACTTACTCTCTAGTAGATTTCCTCATTTTATGGATTCCTTTTTTAATTTGAAGTATCTGGCAACCTGAAATAAAATATTTATGCAGGGTCTTTTTAATTGAAAAGAAAAATCAAAGCTAACCAAAGTTCACCTCAGATACATGGAGAGGAGCCAATACCAAGTTTATACTTGAAAACTTTGCCTATATGCATGCAAGCATTTTTTTAAAAAACAAGAGTCCATACATTTTATATAAAGAGGAACCCAAGAAAGGTCTGATAAGAACTGCTGATTTTTTAAGACACTAAATTTTGAACATAAACATCAAGGGAAATAAAGTTTTGTGATTGTATTTATTAATGATTTATTATACATGTATTCTCTTAGAACTGGGGGAGGGGAAAGCCCCACTTGAGTGAGGTAACAAACTTGCCATCTTTTACAAAAGTTCATTAGAACTGACAATGTTACGGTTAATCCTTAATTCCTGAGAATTTGAACATTAAGTTTTCTGTGAGTTTTCAACAAATGCTCATTAATTTTACTTAACAGTATGTCTGAAAAAAATGAATATACCAACATTTAGTATGTTATCAAGAAAAAACAATCCTGTGTATATTAATAGGTATGAATACACTCAAGCCCTATTAATCTGCTGTTTAATAGCTCTATATATGCTTTATTTTTTAAAATTTTATTTCAAAGACATAAACTTGTTATACTTATCTAGACTGTGGTAATATTTTGAACTAAAGGCAAAATAGTATTCTGTATCTTTCTTCTCAATGTAAATCTCCATGGAGTCAGCATGTAAATTCCTGATAAAGTCATGAACTAAGTGTGTGGGGCAAATGAGCACAAACCAAGAACTCTCTTAGTTACGTTTTCTCTCCCTATTAGAGGTGACTTAGGGAAATTAGAAGAGAAACAATACAGTTGCTATGAAATGGCAGCAAATGTGATACCATAAAATTTAAGATCATTAACAAACATTTACAGTAAAGGAAATATAAATTATTAATTATGCAGCATGCTGTAGGGCCATTTCTACAGTTAGTATGAATTACAAATATTAAGTGCCTTCATCCATCCATTGCCCATAATTCTGCTAAGTTTTGTTTACATAACAAAAATATTTCCTATTTCTCCATTTAACAGTGAAAGTGTTTATCTTGGGGATGTGTGTGTGTGGGGGGAGGGGAGACGCCCTGACTGTAACCAACAAGTAAGACATGGCATTGTACATCCATTCCGGAAGCTGGCAACCAAACAGTAAAGTTAGAAGTATCTGCAGCAATTACCCAAAGAAATGTTTAGCAGGCAAGTATAATGGAAAAATTAAGGATTTCCTGAAATGATGTTAGTATTATATGTAAAGTTCAGCAGTCTTTTTTCACTGTAAAGGTATCATATTATAGGCCGTTAACTATTAACCATTCAGCTATTCAGTGATATAAACCTTCACAAGACAAAGCTAACATCTTTCCAGGAACTAAAAACTTATTCAAAATCTTTCTTCATTTTAAAATCAATAAATGATTTTTTAAGACTTTATTCTCACAGTGGTAATTTTTTGAAAGCCTGCACAGTGCTTAATCTGATGTCTTAGATTATACTTGGTTTAAAGAAAAAGCCTGCTCAAACATCAAGATTTCAGTTCAACCTAATACAGGAGAGCTTGTATGTAGAAATAAGAATTCATTCCATGTTCTCTGGTATCCTACACAGTGCCTTCAACCAAAAGTGAAGTTTCAAACAGGACCCTATGGCTTTATCTGACTTTTCTTTCATCTTGAGTATTATGTAAATCCTACATTTAAAGCAGCTGTTGGAGGTTAAAAGTTCTCAAAGCAATGTAAACTAGTTATAAAATGTCCCACCCAAGACAGCAGCAGCTCCTGTGAGTCACGTGAAATTAGCAGTGAAGCAGCTTACTCTGTACATGAAGTGCACACAGGAGTGCCCTCCACTCGCATCAAAACCATCTTTATAGATTCCTTATAAGAATATTTTTATATGTATGCTTTA